AGACGGGGCGATGGAGACGTGGCAATGGAGGCGAGGCGATGGACGCGGGCGAGGTAGTGCGGAGCGGATGGAGGTGCGGGAGTGGAGCCGGGGCGCTAGAGACAGGTCAATGATGGCGGGTTGATGGAGGCAGGCGACGGAGGCGTGGCGATGGAACGTTGACAATGGGAAGGCGGGGCGGTATGGAGGTGGGGCGATGGAGATGGGGGAGATGGAAGCCGAGGCGATAGAGGTGGGCGATGGGAGCGGGAGATGGTGGCGGGAACGATGGAGCGGGGCGATGGACTAGGCCAGAGATAGTGACGGGCAAGGTGTGGAACTTGAAACTCGCAGCGGATGGCTCACAGGGAGGGAATTGGAGGCGGTGAAAGGGTTCTCAGAGGCCACTATGTTCGCCATCATGAACTCTCTGAGGTTAATGGCACAAAGTTGGGGTGGGTCCTGAGAAGAGGATCAGGTGTGTTGGGTGCAAAGGAGATGGCTTGGGTTTGAACATGGGAAATTGTAAGTCGAACCGAAATCGAGATTCAAAAATGAGGGATATTGGTGGCGTAAAATTTACCGATTATAACAGCCTTGGAATTTTGGCACTTCCCAAGTTTATTTTGTTTTAGGGCTTTTATATATAAATTTCCTTTTTCTCTTCCTGTAAAGACGCGGGGAGATAATGGCCGTAAAAAGCAGACGCCTGCAAGATAAAAGTAAGCAAAGAAATAAAACGCATCGCTTTTAGTTATTTTTTTCCCCTCTCTCTGCTCCTTCGTTCCGTCTGAGCGGCCGCCCCGCCCCACGTTGGGCGCCATTACTCGGCGCCCTAACTGGACGGACGAATGCTCGTGACAGGGCGCCCACCCCTGCCGCCCCGCTGCGTCTTACGCCGCCCGCGCTGCTTTGCATACCCGAGTATCGAAGCGTAAGCCCTTAAGAGTCTGCGTTATGGCTTCCGTTGAAATGCATCTTTAATGAAGTGCCCATCAGCGAGCGACGGTTACCGGGCGCAAACGAGACGGCACAATCGAAGAGTGATGGGGGACGGCGGGGTCGGCGTGGGTGAGTTGGGCGAGAGGTGAGGTGGCGGTGGGTCGAATGAGAGAAGCGGAGAACGGCAGGAAAACAAGGAGTCGATGAGGCTGGTAAGAGATTTCCAAATATCGACAATTTCGAGACTCCGGCAGTCACAGCTGTTCTGCGTGGATACGTATGTGATTATTACGAATGAAAACTGTTGATGATCTGACTGCATGCTTATCTCTTGAGCTTAAAATAAAGTACACTAGATATTTCAAGCCAACCCGGACGACTGAGATCGTTAAGGCAAGCAGACAAACGTGGCATTCGTCGAAGCAGTCGTTGGTTCGTTTAAGCTTGGTTGTTAACCAATGTTTTCCCATCCACCATTAAATCACATTTCAAATAGTATCCTTTCTATCTTAGCCTAGGGTGGTTTCGTGTCCTAGGCTTGCATGTCTCTGGCCTGACGTACATTCATTATCCCATGTAACACATACATTCTTTAATCATACCCTAATAATCACTAGTAACAGTGTGCGTGTGAGGTTCGTATGCAGTATGTCTGCGTGAGAGAAGAACTGGCATTCCGATTCTTTAATAAATAATGACACAAGCGCTGAAATGGAACAAGGCCTATATCGGGGATAGTTGAAAGGCTCAAAACTAAGATGACGAAAATGACAATATAATATATGTCAGAAAAAGGAGAAAAAAGTCTGGAAGTTAAAATGTGAAAAGAAAATTAGGGACGCTGCCATTAAAAAAATGAACTGCTTTTACAATGTACTGACAGAATAGTACTAAATATGCCCTTCAAACCAATGTCAAAATACTTACGTAATATTTTCTTTCAAAAATCCATATTTTCTCCATCTTAAAACATTGAGAGCAAAAACTAGCTAGGTGCATTCATGTTCTATTAACTGACATGTAAATATGAGACATCAAAATTATTCATTTTGTAATATTATGACTAATCCTATCCGAAATGAAACATTTACTAATATAACTATACTTATTAAATTTATGAAAAGAAGCTAAAAGTATTGATGCCATTCTCATTTCCGACCAACTCTCTGTATTTTCGAACACTGCAAACATTTATCATTTCAAAATTACAAAATTAGAGATAGATATTTTTTCTTAAACAAAATGTTTTTTGAAAAAAGTAGCTCATTCAAAAGCTCATGTAACTTTTTTAAAAGTATTAGTTTTTGCATAATGTGTGCTTGAAATTAATGTAATTGAACAAATATATTTTTTTAAAAACAACTTCGATTCTTTCCTTATTTTTTTTTGAATAGTACAAATAAACGTTTACAAGTATGATGCGGATGTCTAGGAAGAATGTTCTGTTGTAGCAACACCAGTTCTAGTGTTACTTCTATTCTCTGAACATCAGACTCATTCGTTAATTACTATTGTAAAACTCGCGTATCAAAACATTCGAGCATATTCTGGCTCGTTTACCTGCTTTTAGCTGTTAACATCTGATTCAAATTATCTAGAGTCCAAATTTTGATCGCACAGTACAGTCCATCACGGAATACAATGACGAATTATATCACGAAATATAGTGTACGTGAAACGACAATTATCTTTGATTTTGCCGAAATGTCACTTACCTGATTTTTGTTCCGAGGCGATGGTTGAATCGGTTTCTTTTGTGCTGTCCGGGAAGCGCGAGTGGGCTCCTCGAGAAGTTTCTTGGAGAGGAAGTGTCCGCAGGAGACTCCTGGAGATCATTCAGGCGGAGGAAGATGACAGCCGGCGTGAAGGTTCAGAAAAACAGGAAGACCCGACTGAAAAGGAAAGGCAACGTCTAATCTGTGAACTAATATTTCAGGTTATTGAATTTTAAATTATGCCTCTATCTGGCTATCTATCTATCTATCTATCTATAAATACATCTACCTATCAATGTAAATATTTATCTATATATCCATCTATATGAATTTTGATAAAGTCATTAATTTTTTTGATATTTGTACATTTTATTTAAAGTTATATTTGTATTTTAGAAATTAGTAGTAGCCTGTAGCAGCAAAAAATGCAACTGAACAAAACTACACAAACTAGTTTTCTAAAAAGTAGCATGCGCCATGCTCAAGAACAAGAAATAAAATACTCTTGCATTTGCAACAAATTAAATGATTTAATAAAAACAATCTTCGCCTTTACTGTAATAAAAGTATATAGTCTACACATATAAACACATAAAAATGAACTTGTGTCATTTACAATGTATACCTACGACATGACTTTATTGAACATTTTATGTTGAATTCTATGAGCATAAAAATTATATTGTTTTAATTTTGATACTTATTTCTTATAATATTCGACGGAACTGAATGCATTGGATGGGCTTTGGAACATTAACGATTGTTTAACCCGGTCGGCGCAAAATTTAATTGTGCGCTTTCCTTGCAATTTCCCATTTCTGTTGCTGTGAGACGATGAGAAAACTCACTTCTCAGGTTGAGAAGACCAGAATATAGCGTCGGGATGGCGACGTGCTAACCACACGCTCCCCTTAACTGATGGGTGCAAGGTAGACGCTGCTGGTAGGTCTTAGCTCGTAAAGAGCTGTTGTGCCAAAAATACATGCACACACATATACATCACTATTCTTAAAAGAAATGCAAGTATGTGGTATTATGTTTAATGTTAGTGTAATCTTGCGGCCACACATTAAATTAGTTGAAAATGTAAAAGTGCCATAGTAATACATTATAATAGTTATGAGAGCTATGTTGTGAGAAAAATTGACTGATTTAATAAAACGATCACAATCTAAAGGCTTTTTTGTAAAACATCCATTATCCTTGGCGAAAGTAACTTAAAAAAACAACATCATTTCATATTATAATCTTCAAATCTTTTTCCAGATACGCTTTTCATGAAATAAATGGGCGGTGCTGTTTCCTCGTTTTCGTTTCAAATGATGAGAACTTTGTTTAATTGAGAAGAAAAGCAACTCTAAGTAATTGGTTTAATCAGATTAGCATTTCAAAAGCCACAACCTTTTAAGAAATTAACATTTTATGGTACAATTATGACTCGTTCATTACTTTAAACCTAAATTCTTAACCCTGTAGTATTCGTATCTGATTAAGTAATGCATGTGATGATGGGGGCTATATATGAAGCCCAAGTTAATATTACTTTTTAGCCATTAACAGTTTCATAAGAACTTTCTGATTAAGCAATCCGTTGTATCAAAATGTTTATTTGAATATGATGTGAAACTCATTTACTGGATTGAAATACAACATATTTTTTCATTGATAATTCATCAGTCATTCAGAAGTTATACCAATAGTAGAGTAGTTTATGATAATACTGTGTGACAGCAACAGATATGACTTTTACAATAGCATACCGCCTTTCGAATTTCCTACTTGGCAAACGTACTCTCAGAACAGCTCGCGCAGGCCACAAATGTAGTCCAACCGCCTTTAAAACTATCTGAAAACCAGGTGCTTTCTATGGAATGCTCGGAAGCAGACTACATGATAGGAGTAACTTGTTATATGAAGCTTCTAATCAACAGATCACTTTAAACTCAGTAGAGTTTACACACCAACAAAAATAAAATTCTAGACTGCACCTGCGGAAATATAAAGAAATATACCGAATTCTGAGACAATCTGAATAGAAACAAAAATAAAAGTCCCTTTTCTTAGAACTCAAGTACTGATAATCTGCGGTAAGTAAATTAGCAACAGATGTTGAATGTTAAAGGTTATTTCGTTTTTTTCCTGTTTTTTCATTGCCCGTTATTCCTAATATTGATTTTTACTCTACAACCAGCATGGTTTTGTTTGGTGAGAATATAAATTTCTAGAATAAGTTAGGTCATATTACTTCTTGTAAAAATAAGAGAACTAGGATATATTGAAATTACTAAATGTAAATCACTGATTAGTGAATCAGTCAATGTATATTTTTATAGTCTGATTTTCGGGTAATTTTGAATATATATTCCACACTTACCTTCATTTAAAAAGATACATGGATAAATCATGTTCTGAACGTATTTCAGCCGTTAAAGTTTTTATATCACCCTAAAAAACGGCATAATCAGTTGCTTACACATTATAAGTACCAACAACTAAAGGTAGATATTTTTCTCCTACAAATTTATCCCTTTGGACAATGGTGATTTAAAAAACAATCATTTGCTTCTAATCTTTGAATCATGTACATAATATATAATAAAAAACATTGCAAGAGGCTATGTTAAAACTATAAATATTAATGAAACCTCTAGATGAAATAATTAGTACGAGCTGGATCCATGCAGACATTCCATGCATTGTAAATAATTATTTGAAAAGTGAAAATAACTTCATACTGGATCCCAACTTCAGACGACCAAATCCTGAACGGCACGTTAAAACCTTATGGGTTCGCCATGACGAGATTATTGTCACAACAAAGTATTTTTACACAAACGTCAAGCTTTTGGTCATATCTAAGGATGCTACAGTATAGGAGCCACCAGATGATCTAAACCACCGAAAATGTAACAGGTTACATTTACGTAAATTTAGTCTTAGCATGAATCCCTAAAAAATCGAATCTCTGTTAACAAGGAAAGACGTTAATGAAACAATCTCTTCAATTGATCTGAAAACGATTACCAATGTACACAACATATTATTTACTGTCGAAGATATTTTTAAATACATTGGTAAAGAAAGAGAAAATAAATAGAGTCATGACTGGACAGATTACAAAAATAGCATATTACACAAAACTATACATTTAACTCACTAATCACCAGTAATAAAATGGGCCACAGGAAACCAGTAGTCCTCTAGAGAATACGATCAGGATACTACAAGTTAAACCATCTTTACTTAATACAAAAATTATCTCCCCCACACAAGAACTGTGCAAACTGCATGTAAATATAGATCACATTTTTAATTTGTCCACGGTTCTACTAACTAAGACAATTATTTGGATTTATTGAAGAAGCAATACTTTAATCTACTGAAAGTAAAAATAGCATAATTTCTTCTGTAAAGATACAAATATTGTTTTGAACATTTGACACAATTATCACTTGTGAACATAACTTCCACTTATAATTATTTAATATTGTATTAAATTTCATTATTGGGTTGATTTAATATTGAACCCAATTATATATGTAATATTATTCTGTGTATGTAACTGTAATAGTCTCTTATAACCATAGCGACTGTTAGAATTATGCCTCATGCTCCCAGAATGTTAATCTAGAAATTAAATTGAAATTAAAATATATAAAAGTTAATTATTTCTTTACGAATTATTTTATAAAACGTTATGATGACTTATAGTTGTTGTTCTCCTGGTGGATGATATGAGACGTCCTCAATAGAGAATACTGAAGAGCAGCCAAACATGTTCTAGAAGGAAACAAAAGAGTTTTCGCATTCTCGAAGATCAAAACAGAGAATTGTTTAAACCAATCTGGCAATCATACGAGCTGAGGAAACTTAAAATGCAGTATAACGTCTGGAAAGGTCTAATTTTTTGGATTCCGGTATTGAAAACAGAACTCGTGACCCTGAAGGGTAAGTAAAACAGGTTTTAGGACTTAAAACTTTGTTTTACCCTTTCGCCATTCTTTTTCCCTTACATACGTAGATTCTGGTTTCGGTAAGATTTGATCCGCACGTTATCCCCAATGGTTTACAAGTATTGCATGCGGTTGTTATTTAGAATTATTAATTGAGAAAATGATGCTATTTATTTTTAAATGATGCTTTATATTTTACTATTTCGTGGTAAAGAAACAGGGTAATATTATTTCCAAATAAAAAATTCTAGCATATCCTCATAACTAAACATGTGTCTATCATACCAGATGAGATTGTGTATACATGGCTTCTAATTCGAAACAGACAAAAAAGCGAGATTATCACTTAGAAACCACAACATAATATTGTAAACCGGAAAGGGACACTTTTTAGAATTTTAATTTAGACGCGTAACATGGAATATATTTGGGAGCATTTCTAACCCCAACCGCATAAAAATAAAATTACTTCAAACCAAGAAAACTTTAAAATATGAAAAGATTACAACATGTACATACCTCAAAGTAGAAGTTCATGTAAATAGTTTTCAGAATATTACAAAACATTACTTTCGCCTGGGTTCACGAATGACCCAAAACAAAGTCTAAGGGTTATGGTATTTTTATTTTCACTATCACACGTGCTCGTGAAAACTACTTCTTATTGAATTGTATTTGGAAATACCATTGGGGGTTAAGTCAATAATGTCTTCTGAACATTTAAAATTGAAATTTCATTTTCTTGTATACTTTCAATAACTACTTTGCCAAATATTTTCCAAATACGGCTTGCAGCACATTGCTTTCATGTGTACTAATTTATGTGTTCTTGATCCTTTAATTTATATACTCATCTTATCCATGTAATTGGTTTGATAGTAAATTCTTTTAATGTAGCAATTATTTTAATCTGCTCTCATTTGTTTGCAATTATTTCAATTAGTACACATTTTAGTATTTTCAAGTCATTCTGTTAGTCAAGCACTTATTGCTCACGTTCCCATTTACAGCTTTATGATTCTATCTGTATAGTCATATCTGTTTAAACATATTATGTTATTACGATGTTGGTGCGTGGTTGTTACCTGGCCAGGTGGTCGTAATGATCACGAACCGTAGTAATTGAATATAATAATTAGATTTCACCGTTAACTCTC